TAAAAAGCTTCTGCACAGCAAAAGAAACAATCATCAAAATGGAAAGGGAACCCTCTGTATGGGAGAGCATAATTGCCAACGATACATCAGATAAGGGGTTAATTTCCTAAATATATAGAGGGCTCATACAACTCAACATAAGGAAGATAAAAGAACCCAATTAAAAAACAGGCAGAAGACCTAAATAGACACCTCTCCAAACAGGCCGTGCAAATGGCCAAGAAACATATGAAAAAATACTCAGTGTCACTAATCATCAGAGAGATGCAAATTAAAACAACTTTGAGGTATCACCTCACACCTGCCAGAATGGCTGCCATCAACAAATCATCAAACAACAAGTGTTGGCGAGGGTGTGGAGAAAAGGGGGCTCTAGTACACTGCTGGTGGGAATGCAGACTGGTGCAGCCACTATGGAAAACAATATGGTGTTACTTCAAAAAATTTAAAATTGAACTGCCATTTGAACCAGTGATCCCACTTCTAGTAATATAACCTAAGAAGCCTGAAACACCAATCAGAAAGAATATATGTAACCCCTATGTTCATAGCAGCGCTATTTACAATCACTAAGATTTGGAAACAGCCCAAGTGTCCATCAATAGATGACTGGATAAAAAGCTGCGGTATATATGCTCAATGGAATACTATGCAGCTGTCGAAAAGAAAGATCTCTTATCCTTTGAGATGACATGGAGGGACCTGGAAAGTATTATCCTAAGTGAAACAAGCCAATCAGAGAAAGATAAATATCACATAATCTCACTTATTTGTGGAATATAATGAGCAAAACAAGCTGATGAACAAAACAGACCCAGAGACATAGAAGTAGGGTACAGACTGACAAACCTCAGAAGAGAGGTATGGGGAGGGGAGAGATAAACCACAGAACTTATATGCATGTATGTGTAACCATGGACATAGACAACAATGCCGGGGGTGGGGGAAGGGCGGGATTGGGAGGATGGTATCAATGAGGGGAAAAGAAGAAACATCTGTAACAAAAATAAATAAATAAATAAATAAAATGAAAAGAATTAAAAAAAAGAAAGAAAGAAAGAAACCTAACTGCTGCGTGTAACATTACAAGGTCTCGGGAGAACTTGAGTAGAGCTGTTCCATTTAAGTAGGAGCAGCAAGAGCATGACTAGAGTGGTGTCAAGAGAGAATCAGGAGAGAAGGATGGGAGACAGCAAATATGGAGTTTTTCTTTTTTAAAGATGGGAGAAGTAAAAGCATATTTTATGCTGATAAAAAGATCTTTGCGCCCTGGCCAGTTTGGCTCAGTGGTTAGAGCGTCGGCCTGTGGACCAGAGAGTCCCAGGTTCGGTTCCCAATAAGGGCACGTACCTGGGTTGCAGTTTGTCCCCGCCCCGGTTGGGGTCGTGTGGGTGGCAACCAGTCGATGTGTCTCTCTCACATTGATGTTTCTCTCACCCCCCCCCCTCCCGCTCTATCTGAAGATAAATGCAAAAATGTCCTCGGGTGAGGATGAAAAAAAAATCTTTGCTTTTCTAGTGACGGGACTAGTCTTTTCTCACCCACACTTAGTTTTGGGCTTCAAATTTGGATATTTGCTGCTTCTTGGAACCCTAACTTTGAGGAGTGTTAATAGGAAATCTGAACTCATATAGTGCCAAGAATTGTGAAAATGAACATTTCATATGTAGAATTCTTCTCTTCCCTCAAACTGTTGGTTCCCACTACTTTGCAGAATAGTACACATTTTAGATGTGGCCAAGAGTCCTTAGGCTGAGTGGAATTACATTTCTCTAATTTAATTATATTTGGATGGCTCTTCATACTTATAATTTGGTGCTCTATCTCAACCCCATAGATAGCTACTTTCCTCAGCTTCTGTATGATGATAGGTTCTTGATCGATTTTTTGGAACTCCCACTTCAAAGAAATGACAATGACCAAAGAAGCCTGAAAAACTCAGTGTGAAGCCTGTGGTGGCCACGAGGACATTCATAAATGTTTCTCCTATTCTGGGCAGATGGCAGGAGGGCCGCTGTCAGATATAGCCTTGTGATTTGCCTTAGCCAACAAAATGTGAGCTAGGTGATGTGTAATTTCCCAGCAGAAGCTTGAAGAACCAGTGAGCAATCTGCCACATTTTCTTGGCTGTCAGCGATTATGGAAGCAGGTGTTGAGATGAGGCCTCTATCAGCCAGGGTCTGAATCACAGCAATGAGTAGAGCCCCCTTTCAAACCTGGATAGACATTTAGTATGAGATATGAACTTTAGTTTTATTAGCTTTATCTTAGTATGGCAAAACCCACTTATCCTGAAACAGTGCCCAAGAACAAAAATAAACAGTGGTGTCCCAGCTCCATTACAACCAATAGATTACACACTTCAGGATATAAAGATTTTACATTCCCATACCTGGGCCAAAGAAAATGCAATAAATAGCAAGGGTAATAAAACTTTACCTGTCAGTTCTCCATTAAATAAAAAATGATTGCCCTGGCCGGTTTGGCTCAGTGGTTAGAGCGTCGGCCTGTGGTCCAGAGAGACCCGGGTTCGGTTCCCGCTAAGGGCACGTACCTCGGTTGTGGTTTGTCCCCGGCCCTGGTTGGTCGTGCAGGAGGCAGCCACTCGATGTGCCCCTTTCAGGTTGATGTTTCTCTCTCTCTCCCTCTCTCCCTCCCTCCCACTCTATCTGAACAAAAGGTGGAGAAATGTCCTCAAGTGAGGATAAAAAGAAGAAAGAAAAATGTCCTCGGGTGAGGATAAAAAAAAGAAATGATTGAATCTTTAAAATGTTAACATTAAAAAATATATTTATCTTGCCCTAGCTGGTTTTGCTCAGTGGTTAGAGCTCGGACCTCAGACCCCAGAGTTTTGAGTTCAATTCCTGGTCAAGGACATGCACCTCGGTTGTAGGTTGGGGCTGTGAGGGAGGCAACCAATTGATGTCTCTCTCTCACATTGATGTTTTTCTCTCTCCCTTCCTCCCTCCTACTCTATCTAAAAATCAATGGAAAAATATCCTCAAGTGAGGAATGAAATATATATATTTCCCACAAAAACTCTTAACCAGGAGGGAAACTTTTCTTCTTTAGGAGGCTTAGATTACCAAAATCATAGTTAAATGTATTTCAGACTTTGTTCTGAGTCATCTACTTTAGATCCTCCAGGGCTGCTCATTCCAAATGCAGATTCCCTGGTCTTGGCCTCCTAGAAGAAAGCTGTGGTTCTTAACTCCCAGGAGGGTCTGTAATCTTGATCTTTGTTTATATGTGTGGTATAATACACAAATATATTTGGTCTTTGTCTTCAGTTCCTGCTGCAGAGCTGCTAAGACTCTTGGAATTTCCTGATAGGAGTGTATTTTGTTATTCATAATGAGCCCCTGAGTTTATGCTAATGAGTGAGGTCACTTAGGGTGGGGTTCCCAGACAGCACTAGGATGGAGCTGGTCAACCCTAAGGCCAAGTGATCAGACTCTGACCAACCTGCAGGAAGGTCTGGGAGGGTGCTAGAGAGAGATCTATAAACCTTCGAACAGTGAGATTCAGAGAGCTTCTAGGCTGATGCACACATCGAAATGCTGGGACACTGGCATGTCCCTGAATCCCTCCCCTTTCATGCCCTATGCATCTGTTCCATTTGGTTGTTCTCAAGTTATATCCTTTATAATAAACAGGCAAATGGAAGTAAAGTGTTTTCTTGAGTTCTGTGAGCCATTCTAGCAAATTATCAAACTTAAAACTGAAGGGGGTGGTGGGAACTCCCCAATTTTATAACCAAGTTGGACCGAAGTGTGGGTAACCTGGGACCCCATACTAGTAGCTGGCATCTGAAGTGAGGGCACTTTTGTGGGACCACTTTAAACTTGTGGGGTCTGACAATAACCCTGGGAAGTTAGTGTCAGAAGTGAAGTGAATTGTAGGACATCCAGTTGGCGTCCACAGAATCAGAGAATTGGTTGTTGCTGTTGGAAAACATTCTAGAAATATGTTACCAACATAACACAAGTTCATTTTCAATGTACTGTCTTACTGAGTTTACACATGCTTCAATATTAGAGATAGGTGAAGAGACAAATCACAGTTCTGCATAAAAGAATTTTATTTAGTGGTCAGATCCCAATGAATAATGTCAGTCATTGCTTGATTCTGCTAAAATGTGCTATTTTATAAGATATGCTCTTAAGAAAGTGTACAGTGCATCACCAAAAGCTGTTTACTTTGGGTGGTATAGGGCAACAGAGAACTTCATAAATCTTTGTTCTCTGATAAAAATTTTAAAATAGAAAAAACAAAGAAATAAAACCACCACCAAAAGCAGTATTTCAAAATAATAAATGTCACCTTGGGCTATTTACAGTAAGATACCTTTTTAATAGGATACTCTCTGGTCGATTATTTTCCTCACAAATTTAATTGTAAGTATTCTCACTCCTCCATTTGACCCTCATTCGTGATTTCTACCATTCACGTCTTCCTTGAAAGTCATCTTCCATTCTCTCTTGTCTTCAAGTCTTTCTCTAATACTCCTTTTCCTTCTGTTACCTGACCAATAATTCTATTCAACAGACATTTGTTGAGCACCTATTATGTGCCAGGCACTGTGCAGGAGGTGAAGATAGATACAGAGATGAAAAATCCTTGACAGCCCCCTTCCTCAAGAAACTGAGTTTAGGTTGAATTAAAAAACGATGCTTTTCACATTATATTCCATGAACTCCCAGGCCCCTGTAAAGTAAATTTGGGGATTCTCGAAACAAAGTGCACTCGTGAGGGTCTGTCAACGTGGCCAACTCCAACACATGTTGAATGTATAACTGCTCTCTGTGAAGCACAGCCTCAAGGTGGGGCTACATGATAGACAGCAGGGGACAGCGGTGCTGATTTGTTTATGGGGGATGGTAATCTTTTCATTGGCTTCTACAAACTGCACATATGAAAAACCCTTAACCCCTCTCCCAATACTAAATTTGAGCTATAGATACATATTAAGAAACTCTCCCCTGACTTGGACTTGCTCGAAAACTCCCATCTGTAATAAATGGCCAGCAGGAGCTCTTTTCATTACCTCTACTCATGTTTCTTTGTGCTTTTCTGTGAACTTCAAACATAAAAGCAGCAAATTAAGCCTTCAGGGTCACCTTTTTTTTCTTTTATCAAGGTTGAGCCCAAAACAAGCTCACCTCTTGCGTTTGGCCTACATCTTTGTCCATGAAGCCTTGAGAGATGCTTGGTAGTTACTTTAAAAAAACAGAAGGCAAGCCATGAAATATAAAACAAGAGCTATACATAGCATACTAGATAAGCAACAGTGAAACCACACTCTCACTGTCACATCTTGTCCCATGCCGGGCAGATCACAAATATTATTCACATGGAAATATTTCTCAGGTCACAGTCAAGTCCGAATCATGGTGGTGGGCTTCCCTCTCACAGTTTGTAACATATTCCTCTTTCACTGAATCCTCTCAGCCAACCACTGAACAATGACGGAGTTTTTGTGGGAAAGTTCTGTCCTCGATCCCATCCTTTCCACAGGCTACCCAGGGTCACGTCTCTATACAGCTTCCATCCAACTGGATGACACGCTATACTTCCAGGGGTACTGCTGCCAGATTCAGAACTTCATGAGCTGGTTCCAAGCCCTTAGGATCTGAAGGCAACTTCAGGAGTTGGCATTATTCCCATGTTACATTTGGCCTGCGCTACCCTATGGTGGAGAGACCCCAATGTCCGAACTATGTGAAGGGAAGGAGAAGAGCAGGGAGTACTGGGAGAGGGAGGGGGGAGGTGATCATGCACAAGCTTCTTGCTGTCGTGCATATATTTTCAGTGTAACAGCGTGTATTTTGACACGTAAGGAAGGGCTTGTGCTTTTTTATTAAAGAAATAACTCGCCCTGTAGAGCTCATTTGGCAAATGTGGCTATGAACTGTGTGTGTGTGTGTGTGTGTGTGTGTGTGTGTGTATAAAATGTGTCATGAGGTTATGTGTCAAGTCCAGTGGGTGTATCCCCACTGTCACACCCACCTCACCAGCAAGGAAAAATGGTTAGGTTACACCTGGTCAGTTTGATACTCAGAAGCTTCAGACAGGCTTTCTGAGAAGCTTAGAAAATTCTCCTGGTACTCCGAACAAACAATCTCATAACGGTAATGCCGGAACTCCACAGCGAAGGTGCCAAAGTAGGACAGAAAGCACATGACCAGGCCCCACTGGACCCTGGCTGCATACATGTGGATGCCTTGGGCCATGAGGATGAAGTCTGGGGAGGAGCGGTCAAGGAAAGTACCCCCATCAGCCACGCGAAAACTGGACGCTTTCCTGACCAGAGAGAGATTACAGGAAAAGTCTGGCTCTGCCCCTCACTAGGCGAGAATTCGCTTGACAAGAGCTTGCTGAACACAAACATCTACAAGAGTAACACGTGATGGCCTTATCGAGCTCTTCCTTTGTGCCAGACACGCTTCTCGGTGCTTTCACAGAAAATCTAACTTAATCCTCCTGACAGTCCTACTATCAGCATTTGTTCACTGGTGCGGCTCAGTTTGCTGGGCATCCTCCCGTTGCCTGTTGGACTCCAGGTCAGGGCACATACCCCAGGTTTCGGGTCCCCAGGGTAGATAGGGGAGGCAGCCAATCAATGTTTCTCTCTCTCCCTCCCTCTTTCTCTAAGATCAATAAAAATGTTTTGTTTTTTTTTAAAGTAGGGAAACTAAAGCCAAATGGATAAGTAACTTGCCTGAGGTCACACAGGTCTTAACTGGTGGATTCAAACATAAGCACTCTGACTCCCAGGCCTTGCATTCAACCACTATACTCTACGGCTAATACACTGAGATTAGCAGGAGTCACAATCCCAATGTAAGTAGTTGGCCAGAAAAATAAAGTTATCTTTTTAAAAATCACTGCAAATGACTATGGATTCATGGTCATCATTCTATCTACAGATACACTTTTAAACGTTATCAAATTGCTAACCACTTCCACGTAGCTGCACTGGTCTCTGCGTGCTACTAATAATGTCTAAGGGTCCCTCTTCCTTTTCTGTCTGGTTGTCGCTATCTTCTTTCAGACAATACTGTATAGGCGAGCTTTGTTCCTGGTGTCACATTTAAACTGGTGCCTAGATGAAAATATGTAATTAAAACAACAAACAGACATGATTCTTACGCCTGAATATATATGGAGTGTGGGTGTTGAGAAAGGTTCATAGCATATGCTTTAGTGAAAGGACCAGAGGCCAAGGGCTACATACATTTACTTAGGAAAACCAGAAATGCCCCCTTCTAGCTTCAGAACTTAGATGTAAGATGTTGGGAAATTTTTAGAGAGTATGTGAAACTACTTCAGCAAACTTGGCTCTCTGGATTAGATTTGATCCATTCACCTGGGAACCAAGAAATGGTTCCAAGTGTTCAGAAACAATATGGATCAGAATCGCTTGGTATAAGCTCAAAACTCAGAATCATTTAAAGTCTGTACATACTCTTCTGACTGAGGGGTCAAAATATGTCAAAGCAATATTATTAAGTTAATGAGGAAGGGATGAATCTTCAAATCCCATACTAGCAGAGTTCTGACCTTCTCACTTAAAATATTTTATCAGGTTGTTAGCAATAAAATTTTCAAGTCCTTAAATGTTCTCTAGTGCAACTACAGAACTTCAAAAAAATCAATAAATGATTTAATGGCAATTTGTGAAGGAAGGAGAAATAAGACTCTAAATACTCCTCTAACTAGAGAATATCACTAAATGCTAACTCTTTTTACATTTTATATTAAAATTTTTTTATTTATTAATTTTTAGAGAGAGAGAGAACCATTGATGAGAGAGCACATCAACTGGCCGCCTCCTGCCTGCTCCACAGTGGGGATCGGGCCCACGACCTGGGCATGTGCTCTGACTGGGTGACCTCTTGGTGCATGGGTTGATGGTCAACCACTGAGCCACACCGGCTGGGCTAAATCGTTTTACATTTTAAAGCCATATTCTCTAAGGTAAGATCATGTATTGAACTGAGCCTAACTTGAAATCAAGATCACCACAAACTGTGACATACCGTGTATGATCTTGGGTAAATTAACCTCTGTGCTTCACTAATCTTACTTGTGAAGATTAGGAAGCTGATGCATCTAAGTGCTTAGAATAATCCATAGCACATTATAACTTCCCAATAAATATTGGCTATTACACGATTGAAGATGTGTAATTGTGTTACCTATGCAGTCTATCATCTAGGAATCTTGTTCCCTTCTTCTCTGGTTTCCTTGGGGGGACCTATGGGAGTGAACATGTGTGATCACTCCACCCCATGGAACGAACAAACAATCTGATTGGTGGGACTGCAACTGGCTGGTTTCCATTGGGCCATGCCACCAGTAGGTGCAGTCACTGTGCTCCCTCCTAGACTAGCCTCTCTCTGGGATCTGTTTGGGGTTATGCTGAGTGAAGCACTCTTCTCTTCCTTTCCCTGGTTTCTGTACTTGTTACTGAGTAGATAAGCTGAATTCCAGGGTGTGAGATAGGAGGCCTGTGGCATTCTTTCCATATTTACCAGGAATAAAGGCTGATTTCTTCATCCCCATTTGGCTCCTTGTATCTGTTCTCTATTAGTTTAAACTCTGAGGGAAGAAGGGAAATAAATAGCACCTCAAAACCTCAGATATATTTTTTAGGACAACTATATAGGCAGTGGTAATTCAATTCTTGAATTTGTTTTCTAGAAAAGCTTATTTTCCTGAAAGATATAAATGTATTTATCCCTTGAAATTCATATTAGAATTAATAAATTAAGTTATAGGGCCACTGATAAAGTCAAGTGACATTTTTTTTTTTAAGATGGTGGGGGGAAATCCTAATTCTCTTTTGGTTATGCATTCTGTTTTTCATAAAGGAAAACATTTATATCATCGGTGATTAGGAGAATGCATGCCACCATTTCTGCAGATCGAAACAATCTTGAGAAGACAGAGCTTATTTTATTTTTAGTTTTCCTCTTTGGCATGAAAAATAGTCTTAGAGTTTTTGTTTTTATACCCATTTACTTTTCTGTTTTATCTAAGATTCTGAAATGATCTATCTATATTCTCACAAATCCACAATGGCAATTTTCTCACCTTCTACACAGACAAGTTATCTGTGTTTTAATACCATTGGCAAAGACCCTTTTCACATTCAAAGGATACAGAGGACCACACAGAGAGTGACCGACGCTGAGAGAATAACTCGTGGAATTCCAACTTTCCGTCCTTCATTCTTGATGTTGACTTTGAGTGTCAATGCAGCCTGGATCCAGCAAGTCAACGTGCCAAATCCAAAAGTCAAGGAGGTTCCGACATTATGGATTTCCTCATCATTTGTGAGCTGAAGGGATGAACAGATGAGGATGTGGGGAGGCCCATTCAGAAAAGACATAAAAGCCAATGGAATATGTGGAGGAGAAAAAAATAGGTAAAGTGATATCCCAATAACAAAATGATGAATTTTAGAAATATTACAGTCCTTCATTTCCACTAGCTCCTTGTGTCAGTTCTCAGTTGGTTTGAACTCTGAGGGGAAGAAGGGAAATAAACAGTACCCCAAACCTCAAAACATTTGTTTAGAAAAACCATACAAAGCAGTGGTAATCTTTTCTTTGAATTTATTTTCCAGAAAAGCTTTGTGGAAAAGTAAAAGAAAAAAAGCAGGAAAGTTACACCCAGAGAAAGAGAAATGTCAAGGTTTCTACAAACATACACCCCAAATTCTGTTTTCTAGACTAAGAAATGAGACCTGTATATACTGATTGAGGAGGACCAATTCTAAACGGGTCAGTATTTCATTGGTATCGTCAACTAATAATAAGACTTGGCTGTTCATTATTCCTGCAAAACTGGCCTGTCCATATAGTGGGACCAGTTCATTGTTAACAGGATTTTGTTTTTTCCTATTATCATAAAACTGCCACCTATGAACTTTTGCCATATCTGTAGATCCATTAAAAGAAAACAGTGTTTGAAGATTCCTGGTTACAGCACTATAGAGTTAAGGGGATAATGGAGACCCATTTGGCTTATTTCAGTTGGGCGTTAGAGATGTAAACTCCTCAAGTCATTACACATTGTCTCAAAATTTTTATTTATCACTTAAAACATCTTTAATAATTACATATATTATTAAATACATACTTATGAAAAGAAAATCTATTTTGAAGAGGTGACTTTTAAAACATGGTGAAAATATATTTTTGAATTGCCTTCAGATGTCTTATTGTTTGACACTGCTGTGAATAAGGGTCACATCAAATCAGTATTAGTTTCCTTTTACAATTTTTTTTTTGCTGTACAATTTTTTTCACCTCTTTTTTGGAAAGAAGCCAGTTTTTTCTTCTTCCATAGTTCAAAAGACATATTTTAAAAACTTATTCTAAATAATGATTCCTCCAGTATAATTTTACTTCTAGAACACTGGTTTTCTAAACTCTATCGTTTATTATTTTAACCTTATTTTTCAAATAGATAATATAGTTACATGCTTCAAACTTCAAGAATTATCAAAAGTGAAGATTGAAGTCTGTCTCTCACCCCATATACCATCTACCTGGTTTCTCCACAGGAAATTAATTTGTTACTTGTTTCCTGTGTATTCTCTGAGGTATTCCAGAAAGTGTTTTTCAAATAGAGCATCATCGTTCATGGCTTTGACTATTTGTGGTTCCCCAAAACAGCCTCACCTCTGGGTTTCCCCTGGGGCTTTCAGTAAAGAGCAAAACGTCTACTCACTAACCCCCATGCAAGTCCTGGTTGAGAGAAACGATAGTTGTTGAGCACTTTGCGACAATGCCAGTGCCATGGCACGGACGGGTAGTGAGAGAAAAGACTCCCACCAACATCTCAAAAAATGCTCTGTGCCCTACCATTTTGGAGTTTAACAGGATAAACTCTCAGAAATTCTCCTGATAATTCATTGTCCTAGTCAACATGTTCTATGGATGCAACTTTCTTGTTACCCAGCTTGACATGGGATGAGACCTAGAATAATTAGAGAAATTGGGGTTGCCTCTCTGTCAAACAACCCTGGTTTAATGAATTATCAGGACTGAGGGTTAGGACAAGAGGCACTCTGACAATCTACTGCCATATTTTCTTGAATGTCTATGCCAGTTGGACTTTACTCAATAGAAGGGAGAGGGGTGTCCAAGGTCCGGTACTTGATTACAAGAGGGAAGTTTCTAGCAGCAGTGTCCAGCACAGGCTGGAGGATGCTGGGGAGGGACTGGAGGCAGGGAAATCAGGCAACTTCTCTAACACTGCAGGGGCCTCTTTGTCTATTTTACAAATGAAGTCATGCAGGTCAAGAGTTGGGTGATGGTATTGACAAGGGAAATTATTCTTAAATGTTGTGACCTTGGGCTTCTAAATTTCTGGAAAGACGAGTGAGTGTATCTTTGTACAAGTCATAGGTGTTCTAGAGAAATTCTGGGTTTTCAAACTTGAGTTTGCTAATCTGAAATGCAAGCTTTCATGCTAAAAGGATGTTCCGTGTTTAATAATAGAAAGACAATGATCCTATTCATTTTCTAGAAAGGTACATTAGGATACAATTTGTTATGAAAACAATGTATAAAACACTTTAAAATCCTTTGTAGAAAATAAACAGCTATTTTCGTAGCTGTGCTGTATTTCCAACGCACAGTGAGCACCCGCGCATGTGTAATTCAGACTTAGGCAGACCAGGCTGAGAGACCATAAAGGCTGACTGCTGGAGAACCTGCGCTATTAGGAGCCACTATTAGCAATGTTTTAAAAGATCTGTACAGAATGATATGGGCCATATAGTGACTGTCCCTCGGTGGCTATGATAATCATATAGGTGAAGTGTGAGATGTAGGTGAAAAAGGCCAAATGAAGTACCTGAAAATTACCAAGTAAAGTCATTCCAAAGGAAGCCAGACACAGTGCCACCAATCCACTAATATTCAGCCACGGATTTAAAACCTTTGGTTTCAGCTGTATGAAGCGCAGAACAGCTACCACAAGAGCTGGGGAATAAAACAAAGTATTAAAATTGAAAATCTGAAATTATAACACTCAGACTATGAGGCCGTGTTCTAAAGCCACAATGCGCAAAGTCAAACTTTTCACAATACATTTTTAAATCTCTGAAATGACAATTTAAAATATGTTTGTTTTCAATTGATTTTTTTAGAGAGAAAGGAAAGGAGAGAGAGATAGAAACATTAATGTGAGAGAGAAACATTGATTGACTGCCTCCTGCATGCCCCCTACTGGGGATCGAGCCTGCAAACTGGGCATGTGCCCTGACCCAGAATGGAACTGGGACCTCTCAGTCCATGGGATGATGCTCAGTCCACTGAGCCACACTGGCCAGGCTGAAATAAGTTACTTATTTATTTTTTAATCCTCACCTGAGGTTATTTTTTCCATTTATCTTCAGATAGGGTGGGAGAGAGGTGGAGGGAGAGAGAGAAACATTGATGTGAGAAAAACACATCGACTGGTTGCCCCCCGCATGACCCTGACCAGGGCTGGGAATGAACTGCAACTGAGGTATGTGTCCTTGATCAGAATCGAACCCGCAACTCCTTTGTCCGTGGGCTGATGCTCGAACCACTTAGCGAAACCAGCCAGGGCGAAATAACCGTTTTTTAAAAGGAGTTTTCCACATGATGCTTATGAATATTTCGATGTTTTATCCTACCTACCCTGGGGGAAGCAGAGAGGAGCTGAAGCGGCAAGCAGTGCTATTTGTGATCGGGGTGATACAAGGATGATGGAACTGTTCATAGTGTTCTCAGGGTTTTTAAAAACGAGGCCAGCCAAGACAGACTGGCTTAGGAGAACACTGCAGAAGCTTGATGCACAACAAATAAATGGGATTCAGACTCAACCATCCTTTAGCTTAGAACAGTGTTAGGACAAACAGAACAGGAAAGCACGGGGAAGACGACGAGGTTCCACATCTAGACAAACCTGCTGGCCCCTGTGCCAGAAATCATTCCTGGGGACAGGAAGGAAGATAAAGGCAAGTGTGCAAATCCCTTCACTAGTGCTTTGCTCCTACTTCCCGCTGATTGCACCTGGGGTTGTTCATTGTCAAAGAAGAGCAGCTGCAGTAACCAAATGATGAACTATGGGTTTTAGCAGCAGATTTTGAGGTCTAGTATGTATTAAAAATCACACTGATTATATTAAGAAAGCTCAAGTCTTCCAAATGATGTTAACTACTTATTTTAAAAGACCACTCCATCTTTTGAAGCAAATTGTCACTGGAGAACTTTAGATTTCACATCTGACTCCTAACAGTAACCTTGAGGATGGTCCATACTCAAGCCACAAATCTAAGAATCCCCTTTATTAACAGCTTAGTACAGGGATATTTTCATATTTATACAAAAAGCTGAGAGAGGTTAGTTTACAAGTGATAAAAAAAAAAAAGACACTTGCAATTAATGTAAATTATATCTACATAAAAGGAAATGCACTTACTATTTCCTAAGACAATTTATTCTGACATTAAGGTTTAGCAGGGGAGATAATTAGAAATTCAAGAATTATCCTATTTATACAGCAATGAAGTAGGTAATTATGTGCTAAAGGTTTTACCTTGATCAAAGGCCATTATTAGTAGCCATTAATAAAGGACACCCATCCATAAATTTGCATTTCCAAGTATGCTGAATTTCATAATTCCAAGTGACACAGTTCAGCTCAGTGAGTTGACATTAACTTTCAAGTACCTCTGATCAAAGAGTGGTATTCAACTTGGACAATATTTGGATTTTGGAAACAAAACAGAAATAAACCATTATTTATGCAATTTCAAAGTTCTATTCTGATTTAGCTTTTAGTATATTTATGTTTCAGCTAATGCCCACGATTGATCATACTATCAATAAATTATACTTGAATTGACAACAGTTTTCCAACCTGCTTGTCTGAGGAACCTAGTTAGGCATTACATTATATTACAAGTCCATTAATAATGACAAGAACTACCCTGGAGGATGAAAAAATAAGCACAACTTGTTACTTTTTAGGGTGGAAATAGGAGGAGGAAGTGGGGAGAGAAGAAAGCGACATAAACACTCTGACACAGTGATCATCAGATACAGAAGCCCTTAGATCCAATCCAGAAACCCAAACACAGGGCACCATGGAGACACGTGCTGACTGCCTGTGGTAGGCAGCAGTCAGGGCCTAAGGACAAAATACCAAGACAGAACATTTCCTGTCTTCTAAAGATGACTAGTGGCAGGAATTACTCTGGGAACCCTCTGGTTGTCATGTAGTTTGAAGGAGAGGATCACGGTGGATCGGTCTGTGTGTCCCGCTAGGTCTAGGAGAAGAGATCAGTGGGCATGCATCAGTCTTGGTCTCAGCATTGCTAGACTTCCTGTTTGTAACAGGCATGATGGAAAATCCTTTTATCAGGAACAGAGGATGAAATTAAGCTGGAAACAGAAACCTGCTTGAAGACAGGACTTCAACCCAACACTCAACTTCCAAAATTGCATTCTCAACCCTCACTTTGCGCTTTTAACCTATTAATTCCATTATTAATCCACTCAGACTAGGCGAAATTTCTTTCTAAAACAGACTCTGGCTGAATTTTCAGGGTGGTGGAAAAAATAAGGATTTTGACCCTTTAACACTTTTATTAACAATTAGGTTTAAAGGGAGGCCGACTTAGACTGTTACAAAGTTCATTTTCAACCAAGCAGTAGTTTAATTATACCTTCTTGAAAAAGACTTCTGGGCAGCAGGGTAATTTCAGAGGCATCTTTATATATGCTAACCAATTTTTAGTTTCATTAAAAATTTTAGATTTTATCAACAGTTTAAAACAAGATTTTAAAAACCCACCTTCCTGTTGTTTTGGGTATTTAGAACAGTCCTTTGCCGTACAGGTGCCCCATTTACTTTCTCTAGTTTAAAATAATACAAATATTGTTTAAATCGTTTATTTTCTTTACTAAAAAATTTTTTTTGACTTTGAGGCTGATTGGGTTATTTTTTTCTTTCTTTATTGATTTCAGAGAGAGAGGAAGGAAAAGGGAGAGAGAGAGAGAGAAACACTGATACGAGAGAACATCGATTGGCAGCCTCCTGCATAGCCCCCCACTGGGGATTTGGCCCACAACCTGGGCATGTGCCCCGATCAGGAATCAAACCGGCGACCTCTTGGTGCATGGGTCGATGCTCAACCACTGAGCCACACCGGCTGGGCCTGATTGGGTTTTTAAAGTTCAACTCAAAATAGCAGCTCTTCACTGTAGTTCTAAATTGGTGCCTGGCCAAATTCTTTTTGTTTGGTTTAGTTTTATTGTTTATGCATCAATGATTCCTCTTTGTGACTACAGCAGAACAGGCGATCGATATGTTCTGGCAGAAGGAGGGAGACTTGCTGCTTTTAGGTGACTGAAATAATTCAGCAATTAGCTTTATCCTCTCCAGAGCAGCAAATAATATTCCCTTTAAGAAATGTGTCTTAGGTTTTCCCCCCACGCCCAGGAGAAATAAAGTGTTGGCTCAGGACAAAGAGCATAATTAATTCTGTAAAGAAAATAATTGAGCATTTGATCTTCAATTAGTCCATCAAAAAGATAAAAGATCTTGGGTAACTATTTTTAATCAATGCTACACCAACTCATTTGTAGATTGTAAATTATAATCTATACAGCTGCCAAAAAGCAGTGACTGACAGGCAGTGCAGGTTGTTTCTTAACGTCAGTCACGTCGTGTGAAGTCATAGTCTGAGGTGAAATAGGACGAGGCAGGGGAGATGGAAGCATCCCCACTTCAGAGCAAGAATCATTTGTAAACGAACTTTCCCTCTCAGAGTTGATAAATAAATAATTGTTGGTTTACTCCCACTGAACACTAATCTTAATCAGTTTTAAGTCTACCAGATGGCACTAAAAATGATGAAAGATAATAAAGAATAAACACCGGATGCTGCACTACTTTAGAGCAGGAAAGCTAGTAAAAACCTAAGTGCTCCTTGGTGGAGCAGTGCAGGGCTGGGTGGTGATGAGTATAATCTGGAAGAGGGGAACTTGTTTTTGAAATGCTTTTATAAATAGTTACTCATAAGCTTTGTAACTGGATAAATTTGTGAGCTGTGCAAACTGGTGTTTTTTAGATTATATGTACACTGAGGACCACTGGGAAATACCGATGTTTCTTAAGGATATGAAGGAAACTATGTGGTTTCTAACATGTTCATTGGTTTCTTTAAAGCTCAGTGGAGGACAGACAGCTGTGACAGCCCCCCCCCCTTTTTTTAAATAAGAGCACTTTCCTCTGTATCGTGATTAGATGAGGTAGCATTTTCTTAAATCTTCACCTGAGGATATTTTTCTATTCATCTTCAGATAGAGTGGGAGGGAAGGAGAGAGAGAGAGAGAGAGAGAGAAACACCAATGTCAGAGACACACTGATTGGTTGCCTCCTGCACGACCCCTACCAGGGCTGGGAACCAAACCACAACCAAGGTATGTGCCGAAATCAAACCTGCGACTCTTTGGTCAAACCTGAGCCACACCAGCCGAACTGAGGGAGCAGTTTTATTTATTTATTTTTTATCCTCACCTGAGGACATTTTTCCATTTTTTTGTTCAGATAGAGTGGGAGGGAGAGAGAGGAAGGCAGAGAGAAACACCGACGTGAAAGGGACACACCGAGTGGCTGCCACCCGCACGACCAACCAGGGCTGGGGACAAACTGCAACCGAGGTACGTGCCCTTAGCGGGAACCAAACCCGGGTCTCTCTGGACTGCAGGCCGACGCTCTAACGGCTGAGCCAAACCGGCCAGGGCTAAGGGAGCATTTTTAAAGCTCTCAGCATTGTGCCTGGAATGTAAATGACTGTCATGAATTATTGTTGTTATTGGCCCTGGGGGGATGCTCACGAGTAGGTACCAACCTGCAGGCCTACGTAGTGTCATGGCAGAGGGGTTTAGAAAGCTCCCTGACACTGGGATTGAAGATTCACGCTCGGGGCTTTGTGCTCTACTAAATGCAAATATCTCCTTAGCAGTCATGTATGCCTCGATATGACTAAGTGAATTAGATCTTTGCAGAAGAGTGGTGTCAAGGGTAGAAAAAAAGGGCAAGTATAAAGCTCCTGAAAGCTGAAGCTGGAGGCACTGAAGACAAACCTGAGAGACGAGGACGGGCCCTGGTGCCCACATGTGCACCGGCTGCTGAAAACACCCCCTTTCTCAGAACTTGGGAGTGTCTGGGGCATGAAAACACTGCCTGCCAAGGGCTTGAAGAGAAGAGCTTCATTAAAGATTCAGCAGCCCCAGCGTCAGGCCTATCCAGCCTTCCCCTGGCACTAGCAGCAGTCCATGCCTTCAGACATTTGCTGCTTAGGCGAGTGGACTGCGCTCTGGGAAGCTGGGTAGGGGAAGGTTAGCTCCAGGGAGCAATCTTGCTGACTGGAGAAGCCCCCAGTGTGCTTCTCTTTGAACGGCACAAGGGGTGCTCTCCATGGTTCTCACTCTGTGAACTCTGAGCTAAGATTCTGGCTGGGTGGCATGTTGGACCAACCATCTCCCTTGATTTTCCAATGAGGTCTGCAGGTCTTCCCTTTTCCTATAGCAAACATTAAAAAAGAACATGTTCAGAGTGAGCAGAAATTTTTTTTGGCGGGGCGGATTATACATCGATGAAATAGCGGATCACCTCTCGGGAAGACAGATACTCCTTCAGTAATAACATCACCTTCTCTCTCACATAGAATGAAAAGTCTCACCTTCCAAAAGAATCATTTCCAGAAAACCACTGTTGAAATATTTACCTGTTACTGACCCGACCCCCACAACATGCGAATGATGCCCGCTGGCTGACCCTTTGAAAGACACTGGGAGGGCCTGGCCGAGGAGATGGTACGTGATGCGGGCAGGAGAAGGAGAGAGCACAGCCGGCTCCGATCCCCGGTCCCCGCAGGACTACCAGGTCACAGAAGCACTCACAGAACAAAGGGGACAGGATAGTAAATCAAGGTCTTGGGCCCTGAAGAAAAAGTGGGGATTTGGGGCCGGACATGAGTATAAGAATTTTCTTTCTTTTTTTTTTAAACCTATGTCTCCATTTGCCAGCTTGACATATATATATATGTGATAGACACAGGGAAGAGCATCACCTTTAGCTTTTAAACAAGTATCTACACACATCAGTGTTTATCACAGAGCCGAGGCATTTCCTCATCTTTGCCAGTGAAGAAATAAACAAGGCATTCTTTTTAAGGCCAATGTACTGTACAGTAATACATTCTCATGCAGGGTTGCATGGTATGTGAAATATATCGTTTCATGCAGCGAAAGAAATCAAGTCGAGAATACACTGAAATGATACAGATGGTAAAGGGTTGAGAAAGTGTTCAGGTAAACAGTGAACATAACAGGATTTATGAGGGGAAAGACCCTCAAAACAAAAAGCTGGCTTCCCCACGATATGATCCCAAATTATCAACTAAGCCCACCATGCTTTTGATATGGGTTTGGAAGAACTGAAAATAAGCAGAAATACATCAAAGCATATAAAGCATTCTTTATTATCTTCTCACCTAGGAATGCTGCCATGTTCATGACTTGACTAAACACACAGCTTGCAGGAGGCTCATTACCTGCAATACTTGAAAAATAAGAAATGTTATATTATTATTATTATAATGACTATATTAAACTCTATAACCCTCTGAAAAGGACTGAATGTTTGTGTCCCCTCAAAATTCATATGTTGAAATCCTAACCCCCCATATAATAGTATTAGGAGGTAGGACCTTTGGAGATAATCAGGTTATGAGGATGGAGCCCCAAATAATGGGATTAGTGCCCTTAGAAAAGGGGCTTCTCTTGTCCTCTTTCCACCCTGTGAGGACACAATGAGGAGATAGCAGTCTGTAACCCAGAAGAGGGCTCTCATCAGAACCTGACCATGCTGGCACTCCGACTGTGTGGAATAAATTTCTGTGGCCGTCCAGTCTATGCTACTTTGTTTAGTAGCCTGAATTAAGACACTCCAACTTTTTCTAAGATCCAATAGGTCAGAAGGGAATGACCAAATTACCTTATATACGGTGCATGCTTCACACCAGGTTTCCTGGACAACAGAAAACACAGGGGCTCAGGTTAAAGCAGTCATTTGTGGCAAAGTTTTTGTTAGGCCTATTAATGACCAATGAATTACAGAGATGAACTTTACCTTTCAGCTGCATTTAATGGGAAAATTTTGTCATCTTCCACAGCTATAAAATATCTATGAAGAAAGAATAAAAGTTTATAAAAAAAAAAAATTTTATTTTATTAGGCAACCACATTAAATCCTATCCAGGAAAATGCTTTTTTATTACAATGCTTTGCCAATATATAGATCATTCAGATCTCTGAAGCTCATAGGTCATTATTAATTTTCAAAATGCCCCCTAAACTAATGCAAATCATTATAATCTGAAAACTGGAAAACAAAGAAATAAGACCTTACAACTTTGGGTAAACTCAAATTCAAACTCAAATTTTAGAATTTCTCAGGAAATTCTCAATCCACCTTTCTTAATGAGCTGCAAAGAACTAAAATAATTTTCTACACGTGAACAGTACTTGAAATAAGCAAGAGTGGGAACATTTTGTGATAAAATAAGACAGACTTCCAGTGTAATAATACCCGTTTTTAGAAACACACCAGAGCCAGTCACAGAAGCCCACCCTGGACCATGAGCCGGACTGTAGTGGAATCCTTAGGGTGTTAGCATCAGACTAGCACATTTTGCAAATAATGACTCTGCATCACCAGCTTATAGAATGTTCATTACTGGAAGGACACAGTTAAGTCTAGCAGTCTTCATTACCTGCTGTGTATAATTTATTACTCTTGTTATTTACTTTGGTTTCTAGAAGAAGGGAAGCGAAATAGGGACTTTAGCAAGGTTGACTTCATAAACATTATTTGAAAGTATTTGTAAATATATTTATATAGATATGCCATATACTATCAAAACCACATTTTTATCTACATTGCACCCCAGTCCTTAAATAATTAAGTAAAAGAATACTCACACTATCCACAATCCAGCTGAAGTAAACAAAGTAAATACAAGAGGTAAAAACATCCATACGCTGCATTTCTTCCCATCCATACCTGTACCGCTGAAATAAAATGAGCAGGTATTAACGAAGGCAAAAATTTACCCGACTCTTTCAGGACAGACAGGAAGTTTACTTTCACTGAAAAAGTGCATTTCATGAAAACATGGTTCAAATCAGTATCATTACGGCCACACGTGGGAAATCCTTGAGCAGGGAACGTGGACAACTGTTATCCAGCGTTAGCCCAAATATTCCAGAGTCTTAGTTGAGAACTGATGAAAAATTTCTCGTAATGACATTTATCCGTATACAACCTTCGTTGTATCTAAGAAAGTACAAAAGGGTTTGGCTTAGGACTTGGAGCAGAAAGTTTTGGGTCAGGACTAGGTACCAAAGGCAAACTCCAACCTACTTTTAGTGCTATGAACATTGATGGCTTATGGATCTATGGACCCAGCAGGTAGGTACATAAGTCTACAGCTTAGCTAACAAGAATGTTAGAAATAAATGCTTACTAAATAAATTAGCAACACAGGAGGAAACGAAAAATGCTTTGCAAATCTGAATTTTTCTCACGATGTTATTGAGCAACTATCTCAGAAGACTCTGAAATGAATGTTCTGGAAAACGTGTTGTGTATGACTTTAAATTAGCTCCTACAAGCACCACGGGGGAAAAGCCAGATGCTAGGCATTTTGGATGTTATGTCTTAAAGCAAAATTATATAAATAAAAAATTCCCCACCAAAATAAAGTGGAAAGCAGAAGCTTCGTAAGTGCCTATGAAAAATTATTGGTATAGAACAGAAAGAAACAACTACCACTTTACTTCTTTACCCAAAACCATCAGACAAAATCTATTTGAGACACCGGATGCCAACAATCCTAAAGGCAAAACATCAGTTCCAAGACAATAAAGTACCCTAATGACCTTCATAGGTGACCTGACAAGCAGAAGGATATGGGATTACATGGCACCTCTAGGGAGAAACTGCTGCTCGTTATTTTGGGTTTTATAATTAACCGGGTTTGAACCAGCACTGTCACACTCCGCAATATCTACTTGCATAATGCTGACATTCCTTGGGCCTTCCAAGTGTTGAGAACAGAGGGCGAACATGGCCCTTCCTTTAGCTTGGTAAGGAAGGTGTCAGAAAGGTCTCAGTTCCCAAACTGACCTACTAAGCTGATTAGGTAGATCTTTCAGGCAAGGAACAGACACCTGGACCTAATAATGTGTCCTTGAACAGTTGTTCTGTAGTCTACACCTATCTGGGCAGGGTGTTAAATAAATGACAGACTCGCCCAGCCCGTGTGGCTCAGTAGTTGAGCATCGACCCATGCACCAAGAGGTCACTGGTTTGATTCCCAGTCAGGGCACATGCCCAGGTTGTGGGCCAAATCCCCAGTGGGGGGCATGCAGGAGGCAACCAATTGATGTTCTTTCTCATTGATGTTTCTCTCTCTCTCTCTCCCTCTCCCTTCCTCTCTCTCTAAAACCAATAAAGGAAAAAATAACAGAATCTAGTTGAAAGATGTTAGAAACACTTGCAATCAATTTAACCTAATTCCGTCCAAGTCACAAGACTGACACCGACTTGTGCCAGGTACTATATACCAAGTGGTGGAAATACTGGGGTGGGTTCTAATGAATACAACTATTTTTATGTAACAGTCTATGCAATATATAAAAGCTGGTGTATGAACCAGTGGCCCATGACTACTCAGTTTATATAATGTGGAAGAATGATGAATATTCTAAGCATACATAATTTGGTTAGTCAGTGTCTATTCATTGATTTATGTCTAGAAAATTGTGGGCTCATAATAAAGCTATCAATTACGCTAACAAAATACTCCCACCAGTTAGCTAAATTGTAGATGGGGTATGAAAAGTAGGGATGTTGATTAAGCATATAAACCAAACCGTTCTAGATCTGTCCCTGAAATAGGCAACTCCGACAGGACAGCTGAAATCGTTATGTTGGAATAAGAGTTAGGACACCAAGTTCTCACCCTTAGCTCCCCAATAACTGACTCTGGGGGCCTGGGCCAGTTACCTGACTCTGTACCACCACTCCCCCATCTCACCACAGGAAGACTGCTGAATTCCAAGAGAGGGAGAAGGACAGCCAAGACGGAGGCCGCACAGCGTGATGGTACCTGGTCGGTTAAGCCACATTCCGTAACATATCTTTTCAGTAACAGAATGCTCCAATATGCCTAGAATGATCAGCCCCAAATCAGTGATGTTCTTTCTCATCGATGTTTCTCTCTCTCTCTCCCTCTCCCTTCCTCTCTCTCTAAAACCAATAAAGGAAAAAATAACAGAATCTAGTTGAAAGATGTTAGAAACACTCGCAATCAATTTAATCTAATCTAATTCAGTCCAAGTCACAAGACTGACACCGACTTGTGCCAGGTACTATATACCAAGTGGTGGAAATATTGGGGTGGGTTCTAATGAACTCATGCCTATTAACCATTTTAAAAACAGACTGGTGAATCAACCACAACGCCGCCTTACCTGTACACCGAGAAACAACCGCCAAACGGACAAACACTCGCACTGGCTCCCTTGCAGGAACGTCTACATGGGAAATCAGACTTTGGAAGCAGGAATGCAGAGGGAAGAGAGTTCATGAGATCATTCCAAGACTGGCATCAAGCTACAATAGCTTTATGTGCAATTCCCTTTAAAGAAAGGCAATATGAGGTAGGGCACCGAGTAGGACCGGAACCCAGTTCTGCCGCTCACTAGCTATCCGATCTCCAACAAGTTATTTCATGTCTGAAGCCTTAGTTTAATTATGGAGATAACATCTACTCTAAGGGTTGTGCTGAGGATTACTGACAAAGAGGTAACACCTCACACATGGTACATGTTCCGTAATGGCAGTTGTGCCAACTGACTGCCGAGGTCAACGCTAGGACGAGGTCCCCTCCCTCCAAAGCAGGGCTCAGGACAGCTGAACACCTTCTCTGAGCTCCTGCTTTGCTGGAAGTATGCAGACACCCCTCCCAAGAATAATAGTTTCTTTCTCCAGATGGCTTTCCCCCCAAAATGAACGAATTGTACTCTCAGGCCTACCTCCCTGAGATTCTCCTCTTAGGTTAGCTTTCACTGCGCACTGCTTTTCTTTTTGTTGTTGGAACATCTCAGGTGGCTAATGGCTACTCTCCTTAAATATTTTACTTTTGTGAGTTTAATTCTCAAACAGCAACCTTATCTCCAAATTCTGGGGAAACCATACTATATCCCCTGCCTAATAATTGAAATTGCCCTTTTTTAAATCAAAGGGATGCCTTGAGAGGTGAAAAGCATAAGTCTATGGATAGTTGTATTATTAGCTTCCAATGGAACTACTTGGGTACTTCAGAATTTTTACATTGGTTATGCCCCTCCTTTTCTTTTATTTTGGAAATAATAGAAAATTCACCTGTGAGAAATAGTACAGAGAGCTGGGCTGGTGTAGTTCAGTGGTTGAGCATAGTACCATGCACCAAGAGGTCACCGGTTTGATTCCTGGTCAGGGCACATGCCCGGGTTCTGGGCTCAATCCCCAATAGGGGGCATGCAGGAGGCAGCCAATTGAATTTTTTTTCTCTCTCTCTAAAAAAAACAAACAAACAACATATTTAAAGAAAAAAATCTTAGAAAAAAATAGTACAGAGATTTCCGATGTATTCTTCACTTTATCTCCCCAATAGTAACATCTGTATAACTACAGTACTGTATCAACAACCAAGATAGCGATGATCACTGTGTTAGGTTAGCCATTCCCATAGGAATGTAATGAAATCTCTCTATTTTAATTTGCATTACCCTGCTGGCTAGTGATGTCGAATATATTTTCATGTGCTATTTGCCATCTGTATATCCTCTTCAGAGAAATGTCTGTACATAGCTTATACCTATTTTCAATTGGATTTTTTAATGGTTGAGAATAAAAAACAGGTTGAGAATGCTTTATATATTCTAGACATTAGTCCTTTTTATAGATATGCAGCTTGCAAATACTTCTCCAAGTCTGTAGTTTATCTCTTCATCCTCTTAACAGGGTCTTTTTATTTTATTTTATTTTATCCTCACCCGAGGATATTTTTCCATTTTTTGTGCAGATAGAGTGGGAGGGAGAGAGAGGAAGGGAGAGAGAGAGAAACATCGATGTGAAGGGACACATCGAGTGGCTGCCACCCACACGACAAACCAGGGCCGGGGACAAACTGCAACCGTGCCCTTAGCGGGAACCGAACCCGGGTCTCTCTGGACCGCAGGCCGACGCTCTAACTGCTGAGCCAAACTGGCCAGGGCTTAACAGGGTCTTTTTTTTTTTTTTTTTTTTTTTATCCTCACCGGAGGATATTTTTCCATTTTTTGTACAGATAGAGTGGGAGGGAGAGAGAGGAAGGAGAGAGAGAGAGAGAGAGAGAGAGAGAAACATCGACATGAAGGGACACATCGAGTGGTTGCCACCCACACGACCAACCAGGGCCGGGGACAAACTGCAACCGAAGCATGCGCCCCTAGCGGGAACCGAACCCGGGTCTCTCCGGACCGCAGGCCGACGCTCTAACCGCTGAGCCAAACTGGCCAGGGCTTAACAGGGTCTTTTTAAGCAAAATTATTTTATTATTTGTAAGTTAAAATATACATAATATAAAACTCTTAAAAAACTTTTTTTCTTTATTGACTTTAGAGAGAAAGGAATGGAGACAGAGAGAGAGAGAGAGAGAGAGAGAGAGAGAGAGAGAATCATCGATTGGCCACCTCCTGCATGCCCCCCACTGGGTATCAGGCCCACAACCTGGGCATGTGCCCTCACTGGGAATCAAACTGGTGACTTCTTGGTGATGGGTTGACACTCAACCACAGAGCCACACTGGCCGGGCAAAGTCTTATAATTTTAAGTGTACAATTCAGTGGTATTAAGTACATTCATATTGTTGTGCAACCATCACCACTATCCATTTCCATAACTTTTCATCTTCCCAAACTAAAACTGTACTCATTAAATAATAGCTCTCCATTCCCTCCTCCTTCCAGCCTCTGGCAACAAC